CCCAGGGACTCCCTTTTAAAAGTCTTTTGGCTAAAGTTTTCCACTAAATTATTTTCTCTCAGGCAATCATTCCATGATTATTAGTACTTCATCTGTTCACTGCCACATCGCCACATAGAGCTCATTTGATAAAAAAACTGAGCATCCAAAAACATCCTTGTCAAAACAGTTATAGACATTGATAAAGAATACTACTTTATGTTTTCCTATGTGATGTGGATACACAGAGCAAAAGGCTTGCCAGTTAAACTGTCCATATTTTGTAAGTAAAACTGGACCACCAGAGAAAATTTACATCAGACATGCTTTGCATCATGTAGCCATGGCATTTCTGATGTGGTCCAGGGAGCCCTGGAGTTGGATTTGCTGTGTCTTCAGACCTTGCACCAGATCAGTCCTCTGACTCTGGGTTATACAGGAAGAGCGATATCCATCACTTCCCCGCCTGTCTGTCAAAGACAGGACCTGGACCCGTTCTCCTCCTTATAAATCCCCTAGAGAACAGTGCGGAAACTGATCCATGCAAACACTAGTATTTTTAAGACTATTTTCCACAGCCCTCTAGTGTCTGTTCTGTTAACAGCCGTTCAGAACACAACACGTCTGCTCGGGCTCTGCTGGTTGTGATTATCTTCCCTGCGCCGTCTGCAGGTCATGCAGATACACCTGAGCTGCCTGTAAAACCCTAACGGGGTAGCTGTGGAGTTCAGAGCTCATGACCCAACCCTGCATTTGGGATGAGGTTTGCTGTGTACAGCAGCTTCTGTCCTAACACCATCTGAGCTCCCTGGCTTAAAGCTAATTCATCAGTGTCTCCCAGATATGACACATCCCTTTGACAAAAGCTCTCTGATGGATGGACCTGGCAGTTAGTGCTGAGGTCCCTTCTGGCTTCAATTCTCCTTTGCAAGAAAGGAGCCTTCCTTTTAGGGGGTCTGCAGCTGTGATATTTTCTTTGGGCAGTTGCCAGTGTTTGCAGTATTTACCTTTCTCACCACAGCAATGGTGAGTCTGTCCTAAGAGGGCTTGTAAACTAGTGTGAACTCCGTCATCAGCAAGGGTAACAAAAACAGCAAAGCACAATGAGCTGTAATTGCAGCGCTGGGAGATTCAAGTCGGAGTGATTCAGTTGTGTTACTCCAGTCCTTACAACCCAATAATGCAACCCAGAGAGCTTAATGGTCAGGGCACTTAAAAATAATATCTCTCTTTTTATGACAACCCTAGAAGATGCATAACAACACAGTATCAGTGCTGTTTAAAAATTGGGATAAAGGGAGGCAGGGAGGTGAGCTGCAGCAACAGACAGATCACTCAGTTCTTTCAGATCAGAAGCCTGCCGTTTACTCTAGGAAGTCATTGCCAAGCTTTCCCCTGCATCTTCCTTTTTGAATCCTTCACACTTTGCTAACCACTGAGCTCCTCTTTCCCCTAACAGAGATCAGACCCCACCTGTGTGAAATGCAAATACAACCCCATTTTGCAGTGTCTGTAAGACTTGCATTTTTTGCTTTCCTGTATCTCACGACATATCTACAATAGTTCTATAAGCTCCCGTTTATGACTAGAAAGGTTATTAAATACCTTAAAAATCATCAGATATGTTTATTTGCCTCTATTAAAATGGAAATTGAGAGGAACAATCACATTCCTATCATTATAATTAGTACAATGTCTCTACAGCCATAACCACATTAATCAGACATCATATGAATGGTTGTTAGCATTGCAAGATACTTGCCCTTAAGCTCATGACACACAGCGAGACAAGAAGCAGGAAGCTTTAAAACAAATGAGTTAAAAAAGAAGTTACTAAACGTCGGTCTTTATCATTAGCCATAAACTTCAACACAGCTGTATACAATTAATGATAGGAAAAAGATCACTTTTACCCGCATGCATTTTCCAGTGCAAAGTTCCTTAGCAAAAATATTCAATGCCATAGCTGGATAGAGCAAGAGCTTCTTGTTAACAAACAGAAGTCTGTTTAGAGTGCCGAAAAAGCAAGCCCACAGCTAAACATGTTTGCTCATTTTACATTTTGAAAAACAGAGCTGCTGCTAAACCAGGTTCCTAATTACCAGTTTGCTAGAACGGGTCTCTGGAGAGGTTAGAGAAAACCACAAACATCTCCCTGGGAGCCTCTGGAGATTGGAGACCTTTTGTGGCAAAAGGCAGAGGAAAATTTTCGGCAACTTATAACTGCTGAAAGTTGGGGCTCTACACAGAAGGCTGCATGGTGAGTAACAGACACAGGGAGTATCAGCTTTGCAAAGAGCTTCATGTCACTTTGCAGAGCTTAAAAGCAGCAGCGTGAAGACTTCGCAGCTGGCAGTGGATGAGCATCAAAAGGAGCAGGATGCCACCATGTTTTGATACTGCAAACTGTGCTTCTGTTTACTTTAGCAGCTCCTGTCTGTTAGTGTGTGTTCCCTGCTGAGATGATGTTTCTGGCTGGGTTTTTTCCCTCAGTTAGAAGAGGAGCATTTCACTAGTGAGAACTTTTCTCCTGGCTAATACATTCACCATACAGTAACATAGGCCAGCTCCCGTCCTTCGTCTTGTCAGTCTGCTGCTGAGATAGGCAGATAACATGATTCTAAGATCTTGTTTAGATCCTGTTGCTCTGTATTTCATCTCCTTTTTCTGTTGTGTTGTTTTCTACCTGCAAAAGTCCCTGTGGACTGCCTTGAGTTCAGCTTAGGAGACATTTTATGTGAATGATGGATGTTGGCCATGTTAGTGCTATGCTCCTTGCCTGGCGCAGTACTAGACAAGATGGAGTAAGGAAACAACCTGAGAGTCTTTCTTTTCAGGTGTCCACATTTGGGCTTTGGGTTACAGCAAAGAGGTTATCTGGCTAGGAATTTCACCCAGTGGACTAAGCCTCCAAAGGGCTCACAAGCCACTCAGAGCTCTCATGGTCCTGTAAAAGAGGGTTTGAGCTTTCGGAAAAGAGTCTCCAGCAACGGGTTACAAAAGCCCTGCCAGTAACAAGATAAAAGATCACAGATGTTCTTAACTGCTTTGTTTTCCCTATAGGACCTGTTATATGCTTGGATGGTGCCCTGCTTTCTACAACCTTAACCCCAAGGGTGTTTTTCAGGAGTCTAAACACAGTGTCATTTCAACTACTTCTACCCAGAGCTCATCTCAGACAGGTCTTTAGTGACCTCAGGTATCTTATATTAAACAAGACTTCTTGGGCGGATCTCACCTTCCCTGCCCTGCACCCTCACCAGCATAACTGTCTCAAGGGGGCTCATCCTCAGGAGTCCTAGATTAAGGTCTGTGCTGGGAGGAAAGACTGTTCTTCCACACACCTTGGTCTTGTTACAGCTGGAGTCAAATGAGGTTTAGTTGTGGCTACCCAAGGTCCTCATTTCTTATTGCTTATCTGAAAGCTATTCACATCAAGCACTATGAACCTATTTTATTTTCCTCTAAGTGTCTAAGATAACAAATTAGGCTGAATGCTGCCATTACGGCTTTGATGTGAAAAAATAGATCAAAGAGTTTGGTTGCCATTGATTTGCTCCTGCAGGCCTGGCTAGTAACTAACTGCAAGTCTCCTTTCAGAGGGTAGCCCAACGCACTCAACTGATCTGGTGAGCAAGGTTCCTTCTGCAGCTAGCAGCAGGCTGGAAAGCAGCCGAGATATCCAGGATCTGACAAATTGTCCAGTGAAATCTGGGCTAGATTTCAAAACCCTTGATAAGACATGACATGAAACCAATTTGCTATTCAAAAACATTCCAATAGCCCTTGTTCTTGGTCACATTTCAAGCTAATTGCAAAGCAAGCTAGCTGTTACAAATCCTTGAAGCAGAAAACTAAAACATACACATATATGTAAACATATGCATACATGCATATGAATATATATGTAAATGAACTTTTTGCATGGCTGGATAAGATTGGAACATCCACATCAGTATGGATAGCTGACATGTTTCTGAATGATCACAGATTTCCTCAACAGCTAATGGGAAATGTCCGTATGAAGTCAAACTTTATAAACAGCCATGTTTTTTTAGTTTATTTCTCTTCCTGCCCGAGATAAACTTTGGAATAGATGTCAACAAGTTTAATCTGTCTGGACTGAGTACTGTTGCCATACAGGAAACATTACAGTGAGAAGAAGCATGAACACATGTCTCTCTATAAAGGATTTGATTATCAGACTTGGAGATATAGACACACAGATCTTCATATAGGCCAGTACTGATCTCTCTACACATATCTATTTATTTATTGACTGATTGATACTCTGTCCATAGATAGATCTGGATGTAGGCAGACAGAAAGTCACAGCTTAGTTCTGCTTTGTTCATTACTTCATTCTCTCCAGAAAGGGGCATTTTAACTTACAGATGACTGAATCTAGTTCCTGACACCCAACATATGCTATTGATCTGGAAGTCAGGCCTGAGAGCCACAAATCTGATCTATTAGTAGCTTTGTAACAACACTATATCATATTCCTGAGCTCGCAGCTGCTTCCAAACATTACAAGATGTGTTTGTTCTCATACTTGACCCATTTTACTTTGTCTGACTCTTGACTCACTCTTTCAGCCAGCTCATCTCTGATAAATTACGGAACCTCTCACAGCTTCTTTCTTGCTCTTCAATCTCAAATCCATCTTGTCTCCATCCGTGATCAAGCGAAAAAGTCTCCTTGACTGTTGCAATTCGTTTTAAGGATTCTTTGTTACTGCTGATGCCTCCCATCAACAGGACACCTGCACTTGCCACTGGCGTTTGAAGGAGATCAGCAAGAGAAAGTACAATAATATTTTCTGCTACTGCTGAAGGGCAGCTGGCTTACTGGTTTGTCTGCACGGAGGGATGCCAGTATTTTTGTCCTCCTTTTGCTTCAAAAAGGAAGACCTATCCAGTGTTCTTGTAACAAATTACAATTGCAGAAGTAAACCACAAAAAGAGTGAAGCCTGGAAGAAAAAATGCGTTTCCCAGAACAGATCTAACACTATCAAAGGCCATGCTCTGACTTACAACCCAAAAGGGCAACACACAAAAGGTTTGTTCTGGAGAAAAACGTCCATCTCTTTTATGCCATACAGGACCTGATTTGATCACAGTCACTGATTAGATCTGTGCTATTGAAGTGCAAACACAAAGGCGGTCTCACAGAGGATGGCTGGATTTAGCTACTATTTGAGTCTTGAAATAGTGGAATAATAGCTTGAGAAATATGATGGTGACCACAGAGAACTGTAGATACTTGCTCCATCATTTTGCAGATAAAATTATTAATGCCCCAGCTGCTTTCAGCCCTGATGAACTTCATTGTTCCACTGTCATTTACTATATCTCCTGATCCCCTCACACAGTGAAATTAGGCTTGCTGTGATGTGTGGCTTTCTCATGCTATTGCTATATTAGCCAGCAGGAGCAGATCTGTAGGGTGAAGAAATCGGTAGTGAGGATGCAATATCCACACTATTTGCATTTCGGAGAGCTGGCTTTGGACTAGCTTTGGTCTGGTCTCATCAAGTCAGCATCCGTCAGCAGCTACAGTGAATTAGGTATGCTCATACAGTACATCTTCCCATGCTGTTTCACTGAAAGGGAATCCAGGTGCATGTACTCTGAGACTGCTCTGGCTATGAATTAAAGAGCAGTAAATAAAGACAATCTGGAGATTTACCTCAAAACCACATTGCTGATCTGTCTAAAAAAAAAGTGACACATCTGAGATATGAGCAGGCTGCTGACTGAAGAAAGAGATACTGGTGGAAAAATTACAGCTGAATGCAAAGAGACAGATTTTAGGATAACAAGTCACCTTATCTACTGACTGTTAATAGTGCCTTAGGTTTGCACAAGCCCTGAAGCACACTGCTTAGCCCTTCTATCATACGGTCCCTCAATTACTACCTGGCAGTGAGGGTAGAGCTACTTGTCCTGACTTCACACCTTGTAGGGATGGCTATGTGACACGGGGCACCACTGGAAGCAGAACCCGCAGCTGGAGCACCTTAGCCCCACATTCCACCCAGGCCTCCACTGAGTGCAAGCCTCGCAATGGGCCAAAGGCTGCTTTCTTCGGTTAGCCACTGTCATACGGTGGTTTTATGCTACTATTTTGAAGATTCACTATGTTAAATGTGGCAGCCATCCACTTCGAACTCTTATGGTAAGGATATAGGGATTCAAAGTAAGACCACCAGTAAGACCAACTTCTAAGAACAAATGCCTTCTTAAAAAGGCAGTCAGTGAAAAACATACCATAGTTTTGAACAACAAATGCTACCTGTGGTTACATAGACTGAGAAGTTGTAATAAATATACAAATATATGAAATGCATTAGTTTAAAGTGTTATTACTTGTATTTATATTTGTATTTTTACAGGACTACAGGAGTAATGTCGATTAGGCACATTTGAATGAAACCAGAGTTCAAGGCCATCAACGATCTCTTGCTACCCAGAATAAGAGACCTCTGGGACTCTATGACATGCAATTAATCCTTGTCCTGCTTCCCATTAGATCCTTTGGTATAAAGGAGAGAGTAGAATAAAGAGTAGAATGAAATATTCTCTTTAGCTGATCTCAGGGAGAGACAAGTAATTGCATTTGAATATGGAGAGCTAACTTCGTAGTGCTCTGCAAAAGTACCTTAAGTAACCCTTGGCAAAAGAAATTTTCCAAGCAGAGCAGAATCCAAATGAAGCTTCCTGGGTGTGAGGTCATATTAAAACCTTAAAATTCAGCCTATTTTCATCGAAGCTCTGCCAAGCGTCTCAGCCAAGTTGCAGTTCTGCAGCAAAACTCTGTGCACTTCACGACTCTGTCAAACTTTCCAGTGAATCCAGATGAAACTCAGCAGCTCTGGACTCAGTCAGAAAGCTCACAGGAGGCCTGTCTCAGCAGCAGCATCGATACAAGGCTCTGCTGGTTACAGCCAGGGTGAAGTCCAGCATATAGATTGGTTTTGAAAAATTCCACTTGCCAGTGGTGGGAAATTGTTTTCATCAGGCAGCAGAAACATAACAGACTAGATCTGTAATGGAGCAATGCCATTTGATGTCAGCTGGCAGTTTGGAGATCATTGTCTATTCTTTTTCTTTACCTGAGAAGATTGCTCTGGGTTGGGTCACTGGATTACATCAAATGAGCTGGTAAATGTTAGGAATATTCGAGGAAAACTGTTTTCTCCTCTTCTCTCAAATATATGTCTTAGAAACCTGCTTATACACGTACACACAGTTTCTCCCTGAACAGATGTTACTTTTCACAAAATTACAGGCTGTTATCTGTGATGAATACTAAATAGTTTCAAAAAGCCTATTCTGTGAGCTGGTACAAAGCATAGAGCTCAAAAGAAAGAAAGGAGAGTCTGTTGAGGAAAATAACGTCCTCATCAGACCAGGTCCCAGTTCTGGCCTCTGCTACTGAACTTCTCTGTGCAAACCTTTTACTCACTCGCAGTTCTTCATCTGCAGGATGGAGCCTTTCCCACAAACTTTGTTTACTTACATTTTAAACTCTTGACGTCAGTGGATGTCTTACCTACCATGTCTAGAACTGCAATTACTCCTATTCTGATATAAATAACAATATTTTATTTCAGTTCAGTATTGCACTTTATCACTTGTAAAGAGAGAAACACGGTCACTGACTTGTTCTTCTCTGTTGCTTTCCTGTGGGTTCATTATATTGTCCCTTAAAAAACCCAAGGGGTTTCTAAAAGTACCAAAGATACTGTTTTCCAAAACTAAAAGGACCTGCAAAGAAGAAAAGTTACATTTAGAGAAGAGATAAATGAGTCAGAGACAGTGTCTCTATTTCTCTGTTTAGGCTGTTCCTTGCCTAGGAAAAAAAACTAGTAAAAGTCTTTCTATACCTTTTTTGTAAGACAGTCAGTAAGACATACCCTAAATAACCTAACCTTTAAAGCATAAGGCCATGAACTGGCAACAATTTCTCTTCTCCTCTCCTCTTTGTTTCTTAACAGAAATAAAAGCTTGCTTGGTATGGGAGCACTGCTTGGTAGAGGGAGGCTGGGTGTGGAAAGGTAGGAGAGCACTGTCTCGGGAGGGAGCAGACTCTCAGTTCTTACCCAAAGCGCAGGTAAATGGCATCAGCTCCAGAAAACACAAAGGATTCGATGTCTGGCAGTTGCTTGGCAGACTTTCAGCTCACTTGTAAAAGGAAATTCTGTTCTGTTAAAATGGAGAGGGACCTTTCTAAACACAAAGTGAATATAAATAGATACCTGTGAGCTTGTCTATGAGGATTTTTTTTTTCCTGGTTATACTGGTCTAATTAATCAGCTCGTGTTAGACCAGGGCGGACATTCTGATTTTAGGGGCAGACTGGATTTTGTCAGGATGGCTTAAAGAATTCGTGCAGCAATATAAAGCAAAAAGGGCAGGCCTTGATTTTAGACACAAAGTGTCCTCCTGGGAACTACTGCTGGTTTAATTACAGAGGTTGAAACTCTCTCCCTTTCCCTTTCTATTATAACTATCCCATGTTGATAAGCCAAGTTTGAAGAGAGACTGAACTGATTGCTCTGCTGCATGATATTGGCCTTCACTTGAATGGATGCCAACTCAGCTGACAAGTATTGTAACTGTAATGCCAGTAAACATTAACTATTTCACTTCTCCACAAAGCACACAAGGAAATCAAAGGACCAAAGGACGTGGGCCTGCAGAAACACTTCCCAGAATAGAGAGCTTGAAAAATACAGAGCTTGGCTGCTGGTGTGCATAAGACAAATATATTTAAGTCTACCTACAGTAAAACTGCAAGGAACTCAAGAGGAGGGCACCAAACGAAGTCATTTTTTTAAAAGAGGTTAAAGGTAGATTCAGCTTTGGAATGTTCCAGAAATAATACTCTTGTTAACATGCTTCTTCCTTGTTCCCAGAGAGACACTCCTCTTAGGCTCTGGAAACAGGACACTTCCAGTGCCCCTCCAGAAATGTAGCACTGACCTGACAGGTGGGCAAGGGCTGTTCTGTTGGGGTGGTTTTTAATGAGCTACAGTGGCTTTCTCCAGGGACTTCTAGAGCTTAAGATGCTGAGAACAGTTTATCTCAAAGTATGACAAGGGGAAGGAGTGATAAAGGAAACAGGGACAGGTAGTCTTCTGAATTCATTGCACTGCACAGAAATTATGCCTTAACAAACTCAGTTAACTGTCTGTGATGAAAAAGGAGACTTTAAAATGACAGAAGTAGGAGGTACTGACTGCTCTGGATGAATTATATTCTGTGGTTTTGGAGGAACTCTGTGAGAAGCCTTCTCTGAGGGTTTCAGAGAATAATTACTGCCAGTTTTCTGAGCATCTCGTGGTGTAAGAAGCAAAGCTGGAAATCACCTCTGCAAAAGGGCTTACATACAAAACCCATACCACCAGCTAGGTCTGAATATAGCTGTCTTTTACCTCCAGCTTTCTAGAGCCACCGCAATACCCAAGAGGTTCTCCAGTGCAGAGAGGATACCTGGTACACATAAATCCTCACTAAACAGAGCAGATTCAGCCCATTGTGCTGTAAAAATTCCCCATGCAACTGTCAGAGAAATACACACGGTCAGCTACGAGCCCAACTAACCACCCAAAGTGAGGGTCTTAACTGCAAAAATTTGCTTACAGGAGTAAATCCTACAGCTCTTAACAAATCTCCTTGAAGAAACAGGACAGCTCTCTGCAGTAGCTGTTTGACTGAAATCACATAAACACTGATTTACTGACTGTACATTCCTTCCAACAGTACTGCCTTTTGAGACTCATATTTCTAGTTAGGAAGGCAAATCTTTATCAGACAAAAGGAGAAAGTTGCAGTGGAAGGGCAAACTAGAGATAGATGAAGTTCACTAAAAAAGATTTAAATATACAACAGGAAGTGAATTTGGAGAGAAAATTGAGTAGTTTCACAGTATTTCATGCCTACTGTTCCCATGAAGTAGGAACAGGTGATTCAGTAGGCTGGTGATTGTTCTTAAAATGATTTAAAAATTAAGAGTCCAGCTACCACGACATGCCAAACCAGTAAAAAAGTCAACACAGTTCCTCACCACATCTTGCCAAGGTCTGTGAAAATGTAGAAAAGGCCTATCAAGTCAGCCCATTGTGCCTTGGTCCAAGATTGTTCCTAGTCCTTGCTGTATTTTCTTCACGCCCCCAGGAGAACCTGGCCATAGCTACCCGTTTGCAGCACGAGGCTGCAACGCCTCAAGGAGAGCGACCTGGAGATAACAACCAGGACACAGAAAGCCTGGAAAGAGAATGTTTCTTAGTTCAAATTGAACTAAACAGATGCACTGTTTTGCGGTTTGTTGGTTTAACATTTCTTTTAAAATAGACAGGATGAGGTTTTTCTGTGTCTTTAGAACAAAGTGAAAGAAGGAGAATTTGTCAGATAACATGACTGGCTTTTTATGCAAGCGGCACTTGCAACCCCAGCTATAGCACAGCAAAGCTTTCCCTCTGGTCAGATCCCAAAAGACGTTTTCTCTGAGAGTGTTCAGAATCAAATGTGCATTTAACTCTTCTTTCCATTTCACACTCCATTTCTAGTGATTAATGCTGGTGTTCTAGATGGATGGAAGCTGAAACAGATGTTATCCACTCACAATGCCATTCTGATAACCCTGAGCTAAAGGCTGAAATCCTTAGCAGATTAGTGGCTGAAATAAAAAATGGATAAATAAAGTGGGGAATATGGGTGAACAAACTCTGATAGGTTTTATTTCTGTGGATAACAATGAATAGAGGCTATGTAATCTCCGTGCTAATCTGCCAGAAGAAAGATTAAATGGCAAAATTCCAGCACTAAGACCTGCAACTCTCCTCTGCTGGACTGCCTCAGTGTGACCACATATCTTTTTAGGAGTGTGTCACTGTGTAGACTCTATTGTGTTGTTAAAAATGTTTTTTTTTCCAGCTTATTTTCTTTTTATTGAAACAACAATAACAGTTTTTCTTCTATATTCCTATGAGTTTATGCTATTTTGGCCATTAAATGTACTTGCAGTCACTGTATGATTTAACTGGTGCCGAGGAGGTTAGAGAAAGTCTTTCAATTTTCACTTCAATGAAATCTTGAGTGACTTTTATCAAATAAGGAGACACACTTTTTAGAGAATTTGGGACGATTTTTTATATTGCCTCCTTCAGACCTTGGAAGTCCTTTGGAGCAATGAACCTGGCATAGCTCTGTCAGTCAGGGAAAAACTTAAGTCTCCCTCCTTTGTTCTTTACCTCAGAGAGCTAACAATATGGTAAAAAGCTGTGGTGTTTTAAACTATAAGCAAGATAAACCAACTCAGCTGAGGGCATGCTACTGGAAATTAAGAGAAAAAGACGAGATCTGCAGCATCAGTAACCCGAAGAGCAGAGAACTGTCTAAGTATGTACCATCTATATAGAATCATAGAATCATAGAATGGTTAGGGTTGGAAGAGACCTTAAAGATCATCTAGTTCCAACCCCCCTGCCATGGGCAGAGAAATCCTCCACTACACCAGGTTGTCCAAAGCCTCATCTAACCTGGCCTTGAACACTTCCAGGGATGGGGCATCTACAACTTCTCGGGGCAGCCTGGTCCAGTGCCTCACCACCCTCAACGTAAAAAATTTCTTCCTTATATCTAACGAAAATCTGCCCTCTTTCCGTTTAAATCCATTGCCCCTTGTCCTATCACTACACACCCTTGTAAAAAGTCCCTCTCCAGCTTTCCTGTAGGCCCCCTTTAGGTACTGGAAAGCTGCTAGAAGATCACCCCGGAGCCTTCTCTTCTCCAGGCTGAACAGCCCCAACTCTCTCAGCCTGTCTTCATAGCAGAGGGGCTCCAGCCCTCGAATCATCTTTGTGGCCCTCCTCTGGACTCGTTCCAGTAGCTCCATGTCCTTCTTATGTTGGGGACTCCAGAGCTGAACACAGTATTCCAGGTGGGGTCTCACAGGAGCAGAGTAGAGGGGCAGAATCACTTCCCTCGACCCGCTGGCCACGCTCCTTTTGATACAGCCCAGGATACAGTTGGCTTTCTGGGCTGCCAGTGCACATTGCCGGCTCATGTTGAGCTTCTCATCCACCAGCACTCCCAAGTCCTTTTCCTCAGGGCTGCTCTCAATCCATTTTCCGCCCAGCCTGTACTTGTGCATGGAATTGCCCCGACCCACGTGCAGGACCTTGCACTTGGCCTTGTTGAACTTCATGAGGTTCTCACAGGCCCATCTCTCCAGCCTGTCAAGGTCCCTCTGGATGGCATCCCTTCCCTCCAGCGTGTCCACAACACCACACAACTTGGTGTCATCTGCAAACTTGCTGAGGCTGCACTCAATCCCACTGTCCATGTCTCCAAGAAAGATGTTAAATAGCACTGGTCCCAGTCCTGACCCCTGAGGAACACCACTCGTCACTGGCCTCCACGTGGACATTGAACCGTTGACCACAACTCTTTGAGAACGACCATCCAGCCATACACCATTTTCTGTAGTACTGTCAAAGAACCTATGAAAGGAGACTATTACGAGTTTATTACCTGTTATAAATAAAATCAATGTTTTATGAAAATATTACATAAATTCCAGCTTTAAGCAAATCAGCGTGATGGTTTTCAAGACCAGCTCCAATACAGTCATACTTGTTTGGCACTGACCTGCTACTTTTAAGTTCTGCTTTACGTAAGTTTAACTTCTGTGCAGGGCTAGCTTAGGTGCTCTTTGCCTCTCAGTCCTAGGACGGCGAGTCAGACAAAGGCTGTGCAGAAAGAGGTATCTGGCTTATTGACTTGAGCTCAGGACCAGTGTTCTGGCACCATTATGTCTCTGCACATTTTTCAGAGCTGTGATTTCCGTTAGATTTTACTACTTTCACTGTATTGCCAGGCATGAACTGTATCTTTACCTTTGCATGTGCCTCGAGATTAATTCTGCCTGTGCCAGCTTTGCCAGATAGCTCAGAAACCACAGAAATAACGAGTGAATATTTGGGCAGAAGTTAGTACGTTTTGCTGAGTCTTAAGAATTCAGTGAAGTAAAGAATGAAGCTAAGTCATATTTCAGTTTTAAGTTTTCCTGCTATTAAGCTGAAATTTCCTGTGAACATTCAGGCCTTACAGAAGAAGCAGCAAGACACTAAGAATCTGGCTTCGTTAGCTAACCAAAGTGAGAGACAAGCAACAGAACTTGAGCAGAATGTGGCTCAGATGAAGCAGCAGCAGACCCAGCTACAGAAGAGACTATGTGAGGAGAGTGAAAAAAAGAAGCAACTAGAAGTAGAGATTCAGCGGGACCAGCAACAAATTAAAGTAGGATTCTTCCTATTTCTTTTTGACGAAGAATGAGATGAGCCAATTTTGTGTCTGCTTCCCCAAAGACAATCAACTATACTGACAGGCTTTTCCATAGTTTTAAGTAATGACTTTCTTGACAAATGCACTGAAGAAATTGTCTATAAACATTTTCACAGAAATCTTCAGTTTGCTTTTCTCTTCAGCTTTTTTATTGTTGTTTTATTACATGATGTCTAGGCCTGAATTGCAATTTTACATGTAAATTTAGGGTCAGCGTTTCACATTGTATACTTGCGCAGACTCTGACATTAAATGCATTTTAAAAACAGACTGACTGAGGCAGGGAAAATGTCTTTTTTTGTTGGCTGATAGGAACTTCAACTGAAGATGGAGCAACAACAGAAGATCCTTAAACTTAAGGATAAAGAGATTGCTGCATTTAAAAAGAAGAAAAATAACTCAGTGGGGGCTTCACAGAAGCTACAGGTAGCTAATCTATTCTGAATCTGTGTCAGTCCTGAAAAAAATATTTCTTCATCCATAGTCATCTTTGTAAAGTGTTCAGAAGAAGAGTATTCCATCATAGTTTTGTTTTCTTTTTTGCTGTAGCAAAAGTTGGGAGTATAGTCTAGAAGCTTGTACTCTTTTTGAGTGAAGGAAAGGAGAGGGTCTAATGCCTTTTCTTGCTTTGATTTGTCAAAGATGCTGATTCAGAGACCTGGGAATTCAACAGGTTTTGTTGTCTGGTAGGTTTGAGGGTGATCTTGATGTAAACGTTCTCTGTTATAAATGTTCCATGGTTTGTTTTTTTGTTGTTGTTGTTTTCCCCTCTGATATAAATGACAGAGGTCTGTGGTTTTGGTTGTTCCTAACAGGGTTAGAAAAGTAGGTGTCCTATGCCATTACAGGTGCCACATACCTTGTTTCAGATGTGGACATTGGAACGTGAGAGTTTCATAAGTTACTCAAATGCTTTAAAGGTGACAATTTTTAAAGTTAAATAAAGGCAACTTTTTAGCCTTACCAGAAATATATCCACTGATAAACTGTGGCTTCAGAATAAATATATAATGGTCACTGCTACCAGTATCAGAACTCTCATTTACTGTCTTTCTTTCTGTCAACATCATGATTTCTTGTTGCTTAATGTTTTTTCCACAAATAGCTGGTCTTGGGCAACTATAATGCAATACAGATGGGCTAGCTGAATTCTTGTGATATCTTCCAAACCTAGTTGCTGTGATTATATAGAGGACTTCTATTTATATAACTGTTCTTAGAAAAATAATACATTTCATTAAAGGCATCTGATATAAATTTGTTTATACAAGATGTAGCAGTGTAACATTGATGAGCCTCTTTTTAAGTCAGTCCAATTTCTGTATTATTCTGAGTCCAGATTCTGTTGGAGAATTAATGTTACCATTAGAAAGGTCGATTTCTTCTACAGTTTTATCGGTTATTCTAAAAAAGGAGAAACATAAGCATAAAATTCTGACTCTGAAAGTCCTGGTTAATGCTCTCTGGATCTCTACTTAAACTTCAGAAATTAGAAGAGCAAAAGAAATGGCTGGATGAAGAAATTGAGAGAATTCTCCAACAGCACCAACAGTTGGCAGAACTAGAAGAAGATTTAAAGAAAAGAGAAGCCATTGTAGCCAAAAAAGAAGCTCTGTTGCAAGAGAAAAGCCACCTGGAAATCAAGAAACTGAGATCTAGCCAGGTGATTTAAGAAAAAACATGAAACTCATCACACTGCTTTCTTTTAGTGCTGACTGAAAGACTTGGGTGGGGGGAGAGAGAGAGAGAGCAGAAGAGGCTCAAGCCATGTGGCCTGTGTCTCTACCACTGCCATAAAGTTAGTGTGTGGCTTGAACTTTTAAAATGTGAATAGCACAGAATAGTAATTTTTATTCACTTTTTCTCCCTAAAATTCCAACAACAAACCAAAAAATTCTGAACTGTGGAGTTCTGTTATTGCAGAGCATCAAGTAATAATGGTATCTAAAAATGAGTCAGTCCTTTTACAAACTAGAGAACATGACAGGGAAACATTTTGTATTATTTGTTTTTCAGTAGCAAAAGTAAATAGAAATTGAAGTATCATTGTCACTTATAATGACCAGCCCCTTTAATTTTTAGTATGCAGAAAACTGCATGTTGAGCATGTCTATTTTCCTTCATCTTTTGAGTATATAGTAAATTTTATGGTAGCTCTCTACTCAACATAAATTGAGTCCCATTGCAGGAAGCAGGCGAGTCCTTCACTGCAGAATGTGATGGTCTCACCTACGTTTTTCTTACTGGAAGGAGTATCTCAGTTTTATATCTATGGTTGCTGTGTTTTTTTCAGGCTTTAAACAAAGACAGTATGAAATTGTCTACTCGTTTAAGTATGCTGGATCGGGAACTGTGTGATAAAGGTTTGCAGCTTCAGGGCAGCACTGCTGAAGATAAGACAGACATTTTGGAAAAAATTCAGGTTCTCCAGTCGGAAAGGGATCAGCTGCTCAGAAGAAGAAACAGTGTGGATGAGAAACTGAAAGTTGGTAAAGTGTTGTCAACTGAAGTAAGTAGGCACCTCTGAGATAAATACGGGGTTTAGGTAGTGCTGAATAATAAAGCTTTCCAACCAGAACCTAAAATGTCTCCAACTATTAGGTAAGCTAGAACCGAGGAAGTGAGGTTAGGCACATTTGTAAATAGCAATGGTAAAATACTGCTATGGCAACACTACTTACATACCAGTGAACAAAGTTTATGTTCAGAGGGACTTAATTCAGCTGGTGCCTTGACAAACTCCACTGGCCTAAGGATCATGTAATCAGAAATAAGGAAAGAAGCTCGTCAGTTTATCACAAGCAGATACTTTAATGTCAGGACATAGAACAAGGCAATGTACTAGCATAGTGACGCCCCTTGATTTTTTTCATAGGATTCTGTGAAAAAGCATACTGCACCTGAAGGACTCCATATTTTTACAGTGAAAATAAGTCATTACCTGGATGGTCCACACTTGAGTTGATCAGTATAATTATGTTGAAGGATATGATAAATTCATATAAAATGTACAGATTATTTTTAGGTCTGGAGAACCTGTATGGCCATGTGGCTGAGGTGATAATGTGCCAGAAAGAACCCTACTTGCCTCTCTCTTCAAAATCTTCTGCAGTGCTTCAGCCCATGCATTTCTGCCACTTTCCTACACAAGTTATGGTCACCAAACTCCTTACTGACCTGATTCGTTCATTAATCCAACAGAAAACTTGCAGAACAAAAAAAGCCAGTAGACGTCAAACTGTGAGGAGCATGAGGGAGGATAAAAAAAGAAACATGACTTCTGGTTTTGTGACGACCCATTTTGATCAACATCTGTATCATGGAAGGGGTACTATGACAGAAAAAGACAAATGTTCTAGATTTGTACTCTACCTCTTTTTTTTCTCATTCCGTTCTCTGTACTACTACTAGTTTGTCTTGCCTTTAAGGTTATTTTCATTCTTGAGAATGAAGTTAAAGAATGCCTTATGTATAGAAAGATTAATTCTACACATTTTTTAAAAAGATCTCACTCGTGTTTCTCTGTAGGAAGAACATGTTCTTTTCCAGCTGGAAGAAGGAATTGAAGCCCTGGAAGCTGCTATTGATTACAAGAATGAAAGTATTGAGAATCGCCAGCACTTGCTTAGGTCATCTTCTCAGATTCTTTCACAGAGCGAGAATAATGTAATAGGAAAACTAGTTTCCCTGTCTGCTGCAGAGCTCAGAGCCATCCTCTTCAAATATTTCAACAAGGTTTGATTTGATTAATGAATAATGTTTCATCCTTTTTTTTCTGTTAGTATTCTAGATAATGAAATGAAATGGTGTCAAGAAATAAAAATAAATTTAGCACGCTTCCAGTGAAAATCTCTTCAGGTTACATACATCTGCTGTTACTTCAGATATTTTTAATTTTTACATTAACCTAAATAGGATACTTGTGTGTTAACTTTGTATATCTTGTTTTGAGGTCATTAGCTTACAAGGTGCTGCAAATCTGGAAATTTCCTTGCTCCTTTCCAGTGCTCTGTGTTGCTAAATTTTGGAGCAGCAACATACTTAGATAGAGGTGTCGTATTGAAATTCTTCCCAACTGCAGGCTTCATAAAGCTCAGGCTAGTATTCCTATTTTTTTTCTAAATCCAATATAAACTCTTTCTGCATACAGTGCCTGCAGCATGTACAGCCAAATACTGAAGAATCATACTGACACCTGGAAACATAAAAATGAAATGCATTAGGACATGGTGTGTCTTTGTGACCTTGGATGAACCTTGGGTGATTTTGTGAATGAGTTGTCTGTGGGATGCAAGTTGGAAGTTTTCCAGAGTCAGGAAAACACTGTTGTTTCAGTTTAAATTCTGCACAGGGTATTAAAAAAATCCACTAGTCCATGTGATCAAAATGTACTCATTTCTAAAGTGTGAACCTGTAGCAGCGGGCAAGTCCATTTTCAGTGTAAGCTTATGGCTTATAGAGACCATTGCTTTTGTGTGCTTCAGTCTGTTAAGCAGAAGGGTAAAAGCTTTTATGAGAATGGTTTCATAAACCAAAAGAAGTGTATTTCTTTCTTAGATAGTTGGCCTACGTGAGTCTGAACGTAAATTACAACTGCAGATCGAAGAACAGGAAATGAAGGTCACAGACCTGGAAAACATAATACGTGAATTAGAATCTGCACTTGAACACGTCAAATTGCAGTGTGACAGGCAGCTGACGCTACAACACAAAGAACACGAGAAAAAACTACAGTTAATACTGCATCATTTCAAAGGTATTTGCTTCTTGAGGGGGATCGTACTGCAAGTATTACCTTCGGTCACTACTGAGAAGTACCGTACTCCAACTGGAAAAAAAGAACAAGGTTCAGAGAGGTATTTTGGCTGTCAGTAATGCTGATGTTTTGTGGGATGCTGAAGAGCAGTCACATGGTGTCTGTAAGAACGGAAAATTGAGTATTTGTTTAAAGCAGTATAAGAATGGTTGTATTTTCATACTGAATTTACTGATACTGGAAAGTTGAAAGATACCAGTCCTGCTGATTTTGATCTTCTAAAAACTCCTATTAAAACTGACAAGCGGGGTTGGCATGGCCTTTTTGATCCAATGTCATACTAGGTAAAATATACACACTGCAAGCGAAGTGTCAGCATGATACAAGACATATTCTGTGTAGTCAGGCTTCTTGATTTTTGGCACAAAGCTACGTGGTTCTTAAACTAGTTTTATTTGTCCTAGAACAAGATAGCGAAGGTATTGCAGAAACCTTGCAAGAGTATGAAGTAAAAGTTCAGCAACTGGAAAAAGACTTATTTTTCTATAAGAAAACCAGCAGAGAACTGAAAAAGAAACTGAAGGGCCTCTTTGGAGAGTCATCACATCAATTACTGGCATCCACTAAATGTAAGTATATTAATTTAAAATAGTTATGCAGTTGTCAGTAGACCATTTGGAGAGTGGTGAACACACAGAAGTGTATCAGATAAACATAAACATCATAATTTTACTGAACTGTTCTCCAGGAATATATTACACCTCTCCCTCAGTTTCAAAGGAGAGACAATAGTGGTTTGTAGCTGTAGCAGTGGTATACCAGTGGTTTAAATTCTTGTGTTTTTTTTAGATTCGAACATAATTTCAGTATCTACAGCCTCAAACTGCCATGGTTAAGAAAAAGGAATTTTACTATCTTAAAGGGTCTGATTGACATAACTAACAGCTTTGTCATATGCCATGCTTTCAGATAGGCTGCTCCCAGCACTTGATTTCGTAAATTACTTATTGGGAGACTGCCAGTGGAGAATTCCAAACTTTTAGTTACTAACGTATTTTAATTACTTACTTACTAAGGCTAAAAGAGAGGATTTATACGTTTGTAGGAATAAAAAAAGAGCCTTCTAATGTGATTCTGTGTTTTGACACAAAAAAAAACAAAACAAAACACCAATAAACAAACCAACAACCAATTGCTACTATAAGTTTTTATTTGTTCCATATCCTACTTGCCAGAATCCAAACCTACAACAGAGCTACTCAGGTGGAGGAGAAAAGAAGGTTCAATTTTTGTCACTGTTTTGCTTGTCTCACACCTCTTGATGCCACCACCAATACCTCATATGCACATGGTTCTTCCTCCCAACGGCTGCTTCTATTTCTTTCCAAGGGAACAGGGCCATGCCTTCCTAACACGTACGTGCTGATCACAGATCTGCTGCTCCCTTAATTCCCAGAGTGAATTAAGGCTCAGCCCTTGCCCTCTAGGCAGGATAATGAGCCAATACATGCATTACTATAAAGTACACTGTCGAACTGTGAACATAAATATTCTAGAGGTTGGATTATGAATAAGCGTGGGAAAGACTATTCTGTGTCTAGTACACAAAGAAGCATGTAGTTCATGACATGCATCCGTGTCCTAGCCAAATTACTGCAAGGAGAAGAAGGAAGAAGGTCCCTGTCAATTTCTGACTTTTTCGAACATATATGTTCATAAATTTCGTAAGAATACTACGTATTTAGTTATTTTTCTTTTGAATACATTTTGAGGCATGCTGCAATACAAGGCAGCATAATTGTAAAATACTTACAACATTACATAATTGCAAAATAATAAAATGCTTTAAAATTTGTTGCAGAGCTTTAAATAAAGCCCTGTGTGTACATTACAGTCAAATTTGCAGAATGTGTTTAGTGTGTTGTCCTAGTGTAACTGCTGACTTTTTTTGAATAGATGAATAATTTCATATTTGGCTGTCATGGTTCAGTTAAGACTGCCTACTAGGATACATTACAAGTTAGAATGGGGAGGCTTGTTTTACCAGCACCTGGTCAGAGGAAAGTAACGGCTAATGCCTCTGATGTTTTTGTACATGACAAACTTTTTAACAGAAAGGACAAAATGTGAGGTGCAGACAATTTTTTACCATATTCGCACTACAAGTTACTGATGCTGTAAAACCATATTGACTAATATTTCTTGACAGCAGGCACTCAGAAGAGTTGTGACTTTTAACTATTTATCTCCTGATAAATTTCATTGTAGGTAACAGTGCTGGCGACAAGGCATCCAGTCAAGATCAAGCAGAAGTTGCTTCTGAAGAATTCAAGTCGACAGATAACCCTGAAGCCAACAGTCAACCAGGGAAAATAAAAGAAACAGACAGAACAAGTATTTTAAGAGCACAGCAGAAGACATACAAGCTTAGAGAAGATGTTTCAGAACTTGGGTGCAACAAAGAGTGTTTGTCGAGCTCTAGTGATGACAAAACAGCAACAGATGAAGCTCAGCCTTCAAAATCTCATCCTCAGCTACCTTCTGTCACCCAGAGAAGAGAAACCGTAGTGCATTTTCAAGGAATAACTCCAGTAAAACTATCTCGCCGAGAGCTACGTCATATTCCTCCCTCTGAATTATCTTTCAGACGCTCAAGCCTTGGAGTTGGTGTCAGTTTTATTGCTCCAGATTCCATTGAAATGGACAAAAAGTCTAGTGTCACTAAGACATAGTAACTCTTCATTGCAGTTGCTACTGAAGCAACTGTATTAGATTTCATTGTTGATGGTTGTGTTAAGTATCGACCATGGATAAATGAGTAAGTGTTCTTTAGTTCTTATTGATTACTACCAAGTCGTTAGGTGTTATGCTCACAGTTTCAGTGAATCCAAGATGGATTTTAATTAACGTAGTATCTAAGAACTCTCATTCATATGCCTTTTAAATTGAAGAAATTATTTATATTGGTTTGGGTTTTTTTTGCAGTAACTTCAAAAAATATGTTTTTCAAAAATTGCACTGTGAAGTGCACTGCACTTAGGTTTCCTAGAACAACATTGTACTTCACTCTCTTGGGTCAGAAACAATAACAAACTATTAAATTTATTTGGATATATAGCTAGAAAATTTAGTTGCCAGACTGTCACCTAGAATTGACAATGACTGGCTTCTGTACACTTTTTATCTAAAAAACATTTTATATGAGACATGTTTGAGATCAAAATCGGTACCTAAAGATAATTTTATTCCTGAAAAGGAACATAAAAGTACTTATTTTTCTTTTTTATTTCTTTACAGCTTATTTATGAAATTAAGATAATTGCTTATTTCACTTTGTTTTTGTTTGTTGGGCTTTTTGCACTTGGCAACTCAAAGTGTAATATTTATTTCTGTACTACTAAAATGGAAAAAAGCAGAGGACCAAATTCAGAATCCTCTAGGTAAGCCAGATGGACCAATATATTACTTCATTTTTACTAATTAGTCATGTCCTTTCACAAATTATTCTGGATTCCGTGTCTGCTTCAGAGCAAGGACTATACATATCCTTCATTTTACTGCTACACTGTTGGGGGAATGTATTCAGGATGAAAAGCAAATCTTCTTTGTAAGAGGACAGTGGTCACTGAAAAGCATACATACGCTTAACAGCTGCACAAATGTGAAGGCAGAGACCAGAATGTCTGCGTTTAAATGGGATTAACACTTCTAACCCTGTCTATCTTCTGCGTAAAAAGAGGCGGTACTGAATGTAAGGTTAGTTTTACTTTAGTGGTGGACTTCAGCCACTCGTATTTGAAAATGTTGTCTTAGATCATTAGTTGTACTTAGGAAAGGAATGTTACTTTCTGCTTCTGTCTAGGCAAGATGTTGAGCATAGCAAGCGTGGCTAGAGGAATAAAAGAACTGCGTTTTTCCACGCTGCAAGCACAGTTCGAATCTCTCCGCGTTACAAAGATGCTATTACAGCACAATAAGTGGACTTATTGTCTTGGGGCACATTTCAAATTTTTTTGAGTAGACTACAAAATATTTCATTCTAATCAGATAGATAACCACTTAACATGTCCAATGACTGTGTCTTCCACAACTATACCTAATTATTATCTATTGTTCAGCTGAACTATGAGATAAGGATTGGGGTCTGTTTTGATCGTTTTAGGATTAGGCTTGATTGCTTTTACTGTCATGGAAGTACTGAGCCTTAACTAATGTTAAGTTAATATTACTGTATGTATCATTCACTTCATGTTTCTAGTCAAAAAGCAATAAACAGAAACAAGTAAATGCAGTTTCAAATGTGTACTTGCTTACTACATCTCCATATTAAGTGAAGGAATTGTTGAAGGCATTTCTTCTCAAGATAATACTATGCATTATCATACACCACATACTACCTTATAAATAAACATGAATTCCTCTTCTTTTGAAGGTTCCACAAATGAAAAACTTGTTCTTAACGGATGCAAAATAAGCAAGGGAGAACGTAGGGAAGTGCAGCTCAAGTCACTGGTAGATGCCGGCTGGTACTCTGGAGGTTTCTGTAGCTGTGACGCTGCAGATGAAGTGGTCATTCGACCATTACATTCTGTGTACCATGCATACGCATTTCCAGACATAACTACAACGTCACCTCGTGCTAGGGTAGGTAGACACATCAGATACATTTGTGATCTTTGGAGAAGTGGAAGAATTGTTGATGATGACAGAGACCTAACGTAAGCACAGCAATGAGAGCCCAGTAGGGCAGTCACACAGAGAAAAGTAAACAGTGATTTACATTCTCATTTATGTAACGCTAATAGAGCTAACAAATAAAACAGCTCACCACTTTCAGACAATATGTAGCTCCTCTTATTTCTGCTAATTAAAAACAATACTTTATCTGACAGGCTTTTATTATCACTTTCTTTTGACCTTTATGGCCTTCATCAACATTTCGCTGACGTGCAATACAGGGGTAAAAACAATATGGAGCTAATTTGCAGTGACTCATCATGCCACTATTTCACTAATAGCTGTTTCTTCTGCTATGTCCCGCTAAAACCACCTACAAAAAAAAAAAAAAAAAAGCCATGCATATCATCTGTTCTGTTGTCTAGCTAGTAACTGTGCATATAAACTACCTTTACTTGTGATCCGAGTTCTCTGTGATGATTATCTGAACACTGTGATGGCTGCATTTCTGTAACAGACTCTTGCCCTTTCCATTACTGACTCTTTGCTTAGTACTGCACATTAACGGCAGAGTAACCCCATGCAAGCAGCTTGCAGACGTTCTCTGGTTTGTGTAAACATTGCATCACCTTCAAGAAGAAAATCTGGCTTTTATTAAGTTAATGGGAGTTTCACCCCATCTATATATACTGAAACAGAGTTTCGTTTTTAGTAAATTAAAGGTGAGATTTAACGGCTATTGAAACTCTGATGATGTGGGTACAGTGAGGGATATTTTATCCCGGCAAGGCAATTTTCAACACGACTAATTTGAAGGTTTCAGCTCGAGTGTACTTTTATTGCACGGCCAATAAATAGTACATCAGTTCCTATTTTCAGGGTCAGTGTGCTGATTAAGTAGGTCACTCTATGTAGGGCTCCCAGTGAGCCTGAAAACATTTTGCAAGAAAAACTATTTGCATGGCACCACTTCAGTAAGGGCACGTTTCAAGCATTATTATTATTATTATCGCGTAATTTTTAGTTCACAGTGAACACTGAACGCAATACAGCAAAGTTCGTTATACGGTAGCCTCATTAACCTGGCTTATTTAT